GCTGCACACTGGTGGTGGTGGAGGGGATCCCCATTACCTGTAAAGCGCTTTGAGTGGAGTGTCCAGAAAAGCGCTATATAAGTGTAAGGAATTATTAATTTGTATTATTATTATTTCAGCCCTCCACCCCGGGGTGCCCCTACTTTCTGTCCCTTGGAGTGACTGTAGAAGTCGTCCGGCCACACGTCCTTTCCAAACATGACGTCGTCGTTCAGGTAGACGAACTTCTGCGACAGCCCCGGGATCCGGTGGATGTGACTTTCGATAGCAGGGGAGCTGAAGGTGGGCAAGTGGCTGTCGTTGAGGAAAATCTCCTGCAGACGACAGAAGGTGAACTAAGACCCTAAGGGGTAAAATCGAAAGATGATACTAGGGAAAAAACTACAGGCAAGATGGGGAAAAAGGTGCAGGTGCCGTACAGTGCACTTTCTCGAGCTCCCCATTGCTACAATCCACTTCTACAATGCACACGACAGCAGTAGCAGACACACAAGTGGAGCCTTCTAGGTGCATCTGGGTCTCCAGCCAGACAGGTCCTGGAGAACTGAAGCAGCTCGCTTCACTCTGGGCAAGAGCTAAGCAGGGGTGACTCGTGCACAGCGAAGGAACGTACTGTAGCTCAAGCAGTCTGCTCCCTATGAAATGAAATGAAGCTCCCCTCGCTTCTTATCAGGGGCAAGCAAGCTAAAAAAAAAGATCAGTATTTATGTCCCCACAGATCTTTAATACATTACAATGCACCTTCAATGTACCACCCTGCCATGCTGCCATTAACCTGAATGTCCACCTCCACACATCAGCACTCCGGAGCTGGAGAAGGGAATCGGGCCTGGTTTGGCTACGGTACCTTATGTGTCACAATGGTCACTCTGGGATTGTCCAGGTTCAGCCAGGAGGGGATCTGCCCGTTGGTCACGATGAAGATGTGCCGGACCCAGGGGGCGTGCTTCTCCACAGACCTCAGGGAGTAGCGCAGCTCCTCGTTGTCCTCAAAGCGACTGGCTGACACGTCCTCATCTTGCTTGGACTGAGGAGGCAGAGTGGTACAGAATCACAGCCAGCCATGCGCAGCCCCCAGTGTAGATCACACACACCGATACATACTGTACTTACAGAACCAGGGTCAGTACTACTCAACTATGAATTGGCTATGAACTGGTAGCTGGTGTGTGGTGAGTGTTCTGGCCCACTATGCCTACCGTCGCATCATCCAGGTGGGGCTGCACACTGGTGGTGGTGGAGTGGATCCCCATTACCTGTAAAGCGCTTTGAGTGGAGTTTCCAGAAAAGCGCTATAGAAGTGTAACCAATTATCATCATCACCAACTGTGGAAACTACAGGCTGCGACCCACACAAGCGAGACTCTTCTGGCAGGGCACAACTTCAAGGACAGAGGGGATTGAAAGGGGACCTGAAAAGGCACTAGCAATTCTCCAGAAGTAACAAAGAAACGCAGAAGCCCGGCAGGTACCTGGCTGATGATGCTGAGATCCCAGAACAGGTATGCCAGACTGACCGTGAGCTCCTTCCCATCTACGGTCAAGTTCTTCCTGGCTTGCTGAGTCAGCTCCGAGAAATCCTTCGGACTGTTCAAATGGAGAAGGGCGATGCTGGCTTCGGAATATAGCTGTAGCTGTAAGAAACCAATAAAAAAAACTCCATTGCAACTCCACGTTGCATTCCTAAATGTGGGTTAACTACATACTACCCACAGTTCTCCCTCAACACTGCAGCTTTATTACAGAACCTCGCTCTGTATTGCGTTCAGAGTGCAGAGTGATCCCTTCAGCCTTTTAGATGAGCCTGCTGGGGTTTTCATCGGCTAATGCTGATGAGGAATATCAGCCCTGAGAGAACAAAGCTTCTGTAAATATTTTATGTATGACCTACCTTTAAGCGAAATTCAAGGACACAGGGCTCCAAAACATGGCAATATGGAGGGAAAGTTAAAATATCGCAAACCGAACTCAAGGCCTGTCCGGGCTCTTAATGTATGGCCGTGTGTTTTGATTGGTTTTGGGCCGCCAGAACCCCACACCAGGAATTTATTGCTTTCCGATACTGGATAGCCGGACAGACAGGCCATTCGCAAAGCCTACAGGACTGGGACTACATTTTAAGTGACAGAACACACGGGTTACCATTGTTCAGAAACGACTGAATAAAGAAAAGAAACCAGTCCAACTGGGAGCCTCACACCCGAAAAAGGCCCAACAGCTGAAACTTTGCGTTTCTTATTTCCGGGAAAAGCCCGTTGGTGTAACAGGAGAACCACCAGCTGCCAAACATACGGCAAGGAAGCACCACGACCAGCCAAACAAGAAAGCCGAGGAAAGGGTTTGCTGCATCATGAAGAGACGCTTTGCTCAAAACGACATCACAGAAATCCTGCTTTTTTTCCCCTTCTTACCACTGCCCTTGAGGATAGCAACTCCTACACTGATGAATCTGGAAACATGGCAGCAGCCTCTCTTCATAATCGTCTAATAGCAGCACGGCCAGTTCAGAATGTGTGGTGGGATCAAGCGCTGGCATCTGAAAAGCGTGCCGTGAGCTTCACTTGCACGTCTGACACGAGGCACAGTGCACACTCTACCGCTCCTTGAAGGAAGCGCTGCATAGTCCGTGTCGTCCAAAGGGTGCTATTTCTGTCAGCCCTGTGATGGAGGGAGAGGGCTCCTGGAAAATGAGAGTGATGCCCATTCCATTTTTGAAAACGCATTCTTACCACAGCCTCTATTTTTACTGCTGAGACAATGCTTGAATTATAGCCCCCCTCATATTAATATACATTCTAAAACCACTGGCTTCAGTGCATGGAGGTCTGTCTTTGACTTTGGCAGCAGCTTGGGTGGTACACCTGGAAGCCTTCTGCTGAAGGCAAAGGAAGATTCATTCTAAAGCACCGTGCATATAAAAAAAAAATATGCTTTAAAAAATTGCCCATGCATAATATAAATTATATATCTGGTTATGTGCAAACGTTTGGGCAGGTGAAACTATATGTTTCAGTGAATCTCTGAGTGAAAGCAAGTTGACAACCTCTCTGTGGTAGACTTCAACATAACATCTTTCTAAAAATTTTACCGTTTGCTGATTTTAACAGATTGGAAAAAAATTAATGTGACCGTGGCATTTGAAATAAATTGGGCACTCTTCTAGTTGAGTCCTGACTACTTCCGTGTTTTTGCCAAAAAAAACCTGATTGACTCGTTAGGCCTTGAATAAAGTCAAGTGAAGACAACTGCAGTGTTGAACAAATATTCTGACCCTTCTAACCTTTCGGTTCATGACTGTTGTTCTGCCTTCTTTCAACAAACATGGGCTGCTGTTAGAAGCTGTCTGAGGGCTTCAAAAAGATAATTCACTCTTACAAGCAGGGGAAGGCTATAAAAAGAACTCTAAATGCTTTCAGCTTGCAATTTCAACTGTCAGAAACATCATTAAAAAAATTGAAGTTAAAGGAAACCATTGAAGTCAAGGCAAGATCTGGAAGACCCAGAAAACTCCGACAGAACCGCTTGAAAATTGCCCAGATCTGTAAGGCAGAACCCACAGATCACTGCAAAGGACTTGCAGAAAAGTTTAGCTAAGACTGGAGTCTTGTCCACAGGTCCACAGTAATGCATTGCTTACATCATAATCTACATGGGAGAATTGTCAAAAGGAAACCTTTCGTACAACCTCATCAAAAAAACTCAACATTTGAAGTATGTAAAACAAAACCTTGATAAGCTGGAAAACTTTTTGAAACATACTGCTGTGCACTGAAACGAAAACTGAACTTTCTGACCATAACCACAGACAATAAATGTGGTGAATAACGGGTGAAGCTTAAAAAAACACAAACATATTTGCCAACTGTTAAGCATGGGGGTGGATCCATTATGCTTTGGGGTTGCGTGGCAGCCAGTGGCACGGAAACATCGTGTGGGTGGAAGGAAGAACAGATTCAACTAAACATTAACACATCCTAGAAGCTAATGTCCCAGAGTCAGCGTAGAAACTGAAGCTGAAAAGAGGATGGATATTTCAGCTACACAACAATCCAAAATAGACCTCAAAATCAACCATGAAGCAGAACCCACAGATCACTGCAAAGGACTTGCAGAAACGTTTAGCTAAGACTGGAGTCTTGCAGGAACGAAACATTAGGGTTTTGCAACGGCCTTCACAGCCACCAGACTGGAATACTGCTGAAACTCCGCGGGGAGGTCTCACACATGCAGTCCCTGCAAGACGACCTAAGAATATTTCTGAGCTAGAAGAGTTCTGCAAGGAAGAGTGGGGGAAAAGAACCCAAGAGCAAGAACAGATGGACTCTTGGCTGGCTACAATTCTGAAAAGTTTTGGAAACTGTGATTTCTAGCAAAGGAGGTGTTACTAAGTGCTGACTGACAGGGTGCCCTAACTTTTGCACATGCCATATTCACTATTTTATTATTATTATTTTAAAAGTCTCCAAAACTGTGAATAAATACTTATTATGCATTAAAATTTGCAAAAAGACGTCATTTTTAGGCTTGCATCTGAACATAGAGGTTGTGAACTTCTTTTCACTGAAACACACAGTTTGACCTGGGGCGCCTGTACTCTTGCACACAGGTGTATATAAATAGGCAGGGCAGAGGGTCCCCACGCCCCGCGGCCCCATAGTATCTGCATGAACACAGGCGTCGTCTGCAGCAGGGCACCCAGGAGCCGGCCCACGGCTATTTCAGTCTCCACAGGTTTCCGTCAAAGTCAAACGGTGCCGCTGTCAGATACTAAATCAAAGCTGCAGCGACTCGGACTTCAGTTGAACCCACGGGGGGGTGGGCTGGGATACAGGCTAACATCTCCCTTCACGCCGAGTGGCTCCTGCTGATGGCGACGCTGAGCGCTTTGTCACAACACAACTCCGCCGGGTCAGGACACAGAGACCACAGAGACAGAACAGGCTACCTACCAAAGAGACCCAAACACAGCGCTTGTGTCCCCGAGACAATGTAGGGAAACAATCAAAAAGGGCAAACAAAATGTACAACAAAATTATGAAAACACAAGCGCAGTTTAAAGGAGTTTATTAAAACTGAGAAATATACTATTAAGTATTTGGAATAATGTGTGCAATTTTGGCCAGGACATTACAGAAAAAATATTGCTGCCCTGGATTCAGTCCAGAGAAGAGTGGAAGAGTCCAGCTCTTAATGGACTGCACTACACTGACGGGCTGAAGACAATCTTTTTAGTCTTGACCAGAGATGACTACGACAGAACCTAATCCAATAACTCAAAATCCTCCAAAGATATTCACAGAGGCAACACAGAGACCTCTTCAGAATAAAAAGTGAAATATGAGCCAGAGGATCTAAGTTCAGACTATGAGGACGTATGTTTATAATTCTTTACCCAAAGGATTGTGGGAGTATGGAAGAAGCTACTCAGACATGTTATTGAAGCCGGTACCCAGCTTCTTTCAAGAAAAAGCTGGATGAGATCCTTATAAAGCATTAATTACCTGGTAACTACCAAACAGGCCAGGTGGTCCAAATGGCTTCTTCTTGCTCAGGACCTTTCCTATCATTCTGTTTACTGACCAAGATAAGTGCCTTCTGGAGGCTTGACAAACTGATTATAACTGTTAAACCACTGAAAAATACAGTTCAGGAAGATTCATCCAGCGTCTATAAGCAAAAACACAAGTAAAGAATTGAGCAGAGACTATCCCAGCAAGCTAGCCTAACTGAATACTTTGAAGAGCAAATTCAAAATCTGCCCAGGAGGGTCCCATGCCTGCTGTGGGGGAGATGTTTTCAGAAAGCCCAGAGGAAGCGAAGGCAGATGACAGCATGCAAAGCCAATACAATGGAGTCAACATTACAGTCAGTGCAACGCGGGCTATAAATACCGGCCCCATGGCACAGCCCTGACCCTCGCCACTTCATAGAAACAGCCAGTGAGCACCAGGAAGCAGTGAAAGAGGAGAAGCCTGGCTATTGTTCAGCGGGTGAGCCCACGCTGCCCTGCCCTGCCACTGGGGAAGGCATTTCGGCACCAAGGTCACAGATCATCCTGCAGCTCGCCCTTCATCATCGTGCACTTCGTCATTAGACACCACGACAGAAAAACACAACTGCTGCATTGCAGGGTTATTAACAGACCAGCGTCAGCCTCGAGAGAAAGGTCTATAAACTCTCCTTTATATTACTGGAAAGGTGTCTCCTAAAGATCTGGGCAATTTAACCATGATCAATTAAATAGGTGATTGGTTACATTAAGTGATTTAGAGATCATCTGGAACAAAAATCAGGAGCCCCTTAAGCTGCCTTAATTGAACACTTGTCTTGAGTAATTGACTGATAAATTACAAATAACCCTAACTTTAAAGAGGCCTATGATGCTAATAATGAGATCCTGCTCTCCAGGATTAGGGCTGAAGTCTCCTGGGGTAAGAGGGAAATGCAGTTGTAATAAACCTACAGATGTGTGATTAGCGCAGCAGCAGAGTGATTTCTGCAGACTGCACCGACCAGCTGAAACGACCTGGTATAATCTAGACTCTTGCTCAAGGAGCCAGTGATACTACAGGTGCAGACTAATACAGCGAGTGTCACTGACGTCTAGTTCAACAACGACACCGCACCGCTAGGCAGAAGCAATGGCTCTTGCCTGTACGAGATGTGTGAAGAACTGGGGAAGTACAGGTTTCCTGCTGGTCAAATCTGTTGACATCGTGAAAGGACAGCAAACCCTCCTCACACCTTTGCTTCTCGTAGCGTTTTTTTAAAACCATCATATTCACGTGACATCCCAACAGCTGACCAGACGGAGCCGGAGCTCCACAGAACAGCGCTCGAACCAGCGCCAGTCTTTCTGCCCTGCGAGCGCCACCCCCTCCTGCGGGGTTCGGCCTCGGAGGGGCGGCAGGCCGGTCACAGATCCCGCGCGCCGGAAGAGCTTGGCCTCAGACTGACACCTTGTCAGAGCAGCGGACTAGCAGACCGCTAACTCCCGCGGAGACGGCGCGAGGGGGAGGGCGGGATAACCACGCCAACCTTCCTTTGTGCGGCCCTGGCAAGGGGCCACGAACAACAACTGTTCTAAAGTTAAAGAGAGCGCACCGGGCTCGGGTTTCCCTCTAATACCCTGCTATTATCACATGACAGTCCCAGGAGACAGGGCCCTAGACTCCGAGCCCGCACAGGCCTATCTGGGCCGAGGGACAAAGCTCATTATGACTAGAGACACCAGACACTGGGCATGACTGCCGTTTTATCGCAGTTGTACGCCTCTGCACAGGCCTCACCCCGGGGGCTCCGCGCCCTCACCTGGGTGCTGCTCACTCTCCGTGCCAATATTCCGAATCGCCCCGAAGATCACCTGCGCGCGACACAGAACAAACTGCAGGCTGAGACTGAGGACTTGGACTGAACGAGGGCCACGGCTCAGACAGGGATCCGGGTTTAACATGCACTTCAGCGAAACCGCCATGAAACGCAATGATGCCTTTTTGTGGCAAAAGGAACAGATTTTATCTGAGATTAAATAAATCCACTGCAAGACGGCAAGACTTCTAAAGTCTGCTCGTGTCAACTACAAGGTGTGCACAAACACTCCTGGGGTGCCTGATAGCGACACTTATTCACTCAAATAAAATCACACTTGGGCTCAACTGCTTGACTGGTTCTTTTTCAAATTTGGGATGGGCAATCCGGAAAAGCAATCTAGAGAATTGAGACTGCCAAAGAGAATCAAAGACTGTAAATCCATTCCTTTTCTCACCACGTTACCAAGACAGGGTCGCAGGGCAGCTGGAGCCGCCATACTGCCCAGAGGTTTTAACTGGTTTCTCAATCCCACCATTTTTATCAGAACAGAAAACCTTGAATGATAACTTTATTAGAAGGAAAAAAATAGCAAATAAAAAACACTTTCAGTTTCTACAAAGCCTATCCCTCAGCAAATCAACGTGACAGGAAATTGGATAGCAGAATTTTGTTTTTGGTCACCACTGTAGTCAAGGCTTTCCCCCATCAGTGAGACGCCTTGCGACAGTGACTCACTTATGCTCCGCGCTTTTAGTTTTTGTTGCAATCCAGCTCTGCATGACCTCACTGAGACTCCCATACAGACCTGACTGGCCTGCTACCCGCTTTTCGCAAGGCTCTTGTACAGAGGCCTGTACAGAACCTGCAGAGCTGAGGGAGGGACCTGGGGGCGAAGTCATTCCACTACACCCCCTTCAGAGGGCGCCTACATCCACTTCAAACGCTGGGGCGCCACCTAGTGACAACCTAGAGGCAATGACTGTACCAACAAGTCACGTGAATACACTTCACACTCGGATCATGTGAAACCCTTGAATTTGGTTGCTATTAAGTAAGAAGCCTACTTAATTCTTTGCTTGGGTGGGTGGCAGAGTTTATATCGGCTCTCTTCCTTTTTTTTCTTCCTCCGAGACGATTCTACGGGGAAGTACATCTGAAACCGGGAAGTGGAGACACTTCTTCACACAAGGAAGCCAATACCTTGTCCTCTTCCTTTCAAGAAGAGGCTGCAACAGATGCTTGGATCAATCAGCTACCGATAACCAGACAGGTCAGATGGCCCAGATGCCCTCCTCCTCTACCTAACCATTGGTCTGTTCGAGTATTACAGTATGAACGCCTGCAAACACACCAAGCACTGGGCTGCTGGGGAAGTGTTGTGCATTTAAGGGTGTATTCCCACAGCTCAGTTCAACACAGAGAATAAACATGACAAGAAAGATCACACTAGGCCGTTAGGGAAGCAGGGTTCCTCACTGTGCACATTGTTGAGCTCTCACTATTTCCCATCAAGGCATTCAGCGGCTGCACATTCTCCCATTAACACTCAATTCAATCTTGAGGCCTGGGACAACAAACGATATGGTAATTGAGCATCTGCAGACATAGACGTTCAATTGTGCATCCCTGTGCAGCGCAGCGCAGCACAATGGTTTGAGAGGGCACAGCAAGAGCTAAGTCGAGAAGAAAGAGACATTTTGTTGAAGGAGGTACAGAACTGCATGTCTGATCTATTTGGGTCTGGTGAAGATCTGTCCGAATTCCAAGAGGTTTAAAACATCCTGGCAGGAGGCTGAAAAAATAGTAAGTGCCACTTCCACCATACAAACATGATACAAAATGTCTAAACAAATGCTTTCCGTTTTAAACAAGGTGTGCTAACATAGAAGCTTATGGCCTTGTCTTAATTGCTCTCGTTAACAAGCCACAGATAAGGGGGGGGGGTGTGGGGGGTGCTGTTAGTGATGGACACTTCAACTTCCACCCATGACATCTCATGAAAACGTTGGCAAACAATGACAAGCGCACAGCTCTTGCCCATGGGCAAACCTCTTGGGTCCCATATGTCACAGAAACATTAAATACAAGAAATATGGAAGAAAAAAACAGGCAAATTATGCAAACAGAGCTTGTCAGTTCTGTTATTTACATTTCTGGGTTCACATTCAGTCTTTAAAGCTGAAATAGACATCTTGAAATTGCAGTACTTCTGCAGAGGACTAACTTGAGACGACAACTGTACTATCAAAGGCAGAAAAACTCCAATATCAAAACACTCCAGTAGGTACTTCACTAACGATACTAAACTACAGTAGCTGAACTTAATTCAAGAACTCGCTTTCAGTACAATCACCTAACTGATTACATTATGAGTCACACTGCTCATGTGACAATTTTGTGGGTTTAGGGCATTTAACCTTTAAGTGCACCTCGTAAATTTTAAGTCAACTTTGCTATTTTTCTGACGTTGAAAAAAACACCAATGTTCTCACTGGTTATTGAGGAGTGACGCTTTCATTCAAGCGTCTTAAACAGGGCTATTTAGTAAGCAACTTCCTGATTGAAAAGGTGTGGGTCAGCTCTGATTCTGGCATACTGCTGGTCAGACTTGCAGGAACACATGGACATAGGTGGCAAACTCTTATACTGCACCTTTATGGACTGAGAAACTACTTGTATCAACTATGTTCCTGTAATTCAGAACTAACAACACTGAACCTGACTGGGTTTCATCAGCAGCCCTAAAATAAGGAAGTAAAGGGCTAGACAAAGTGACTCCTTGCCCCCTGTTTTGAGCAACCAAAGTGTTTCGTACAATGGAACTCTGAAAGCTGATGAGGTGCCAACTCAAATCGATGTCTGGTTAACAATACTGCCGATTAACAGGGTGTTCAAACTAAAATAAGCAAAAGCAAAACCCTAATTCTTCAGAACAGGCCAGATCCCTCGACAGGCAAAGTCTTAAATGCTCAGACTGCCCTCATGGGGGATGACTATAGCATTTAGAATCGAACTGAAATTGGTTCATTAACACGCCCGCCGTTCTCCACCCGTTCTGCAAGGAAGGTTAGGTGCAACCCTTACCTGCTTGATCTTACTGGTGACCACCTGCGGCAGCTTGACTCTCAGCTGCTCCGTCTCCTTGAAGGAGGCAGGAAAGCCGCTGAGATACGCCAGGCCCTGCATGAGCACCAGCCCCGGTGCCTCCTTATCCGTAGTCTGGAAAGCAGGGGAGAAAGGGACATTCGAGCTGCCTTGCCTGAGGAAAAGCCTGGAAAACCTGAACCAGATTTCCGCTGCCCTGGCAGGAAATGAAACTCCACAAGCCATGTGCGTCTTCATGAAATTACAGTCTATCCAGCACACGGGCTCACCCGTAACGTCAAACACCAGCAACACAAATCCTTAAAACTTTCAAGTCTTTTAAGGTCAGAACCTACATGCCATTATTTGATATTTAACACAATGTCAGTGTATTTCACGGATATTAAGGACAATAATGTGTATGTTCAAGTTTATTTCTGCAGACAGCTGCACAGAAGCGATCAAGTTTAAATGCACTAAAGCAGAGCTCAGATCTCGTCGGCCAGTTCAGTCAAGACTCTTTCAACACAACCAACAGTTTCTGAGCTCTGCTGGTTCTGTCACCCTGGTTTCTTGTTTTCTGCAGCTGCCTTTCGGGCTCTTGTAATTCTGTATAGCACTAAACATCATCTTTCATTTTTTTTAATTTGTCCTCCAGTGACATCTTGTCACTGTAATGAGCTTTAAGATGCTGCGCACCATGGAAAAGGACATAAACATAAGACACTATGTATTTGAAAGGAAGAAGTATTTTCTTTTTTCCCCCCAGTTTTAAACACACTGAGACAGATTAAGCTTGCAAAAGACTGAAGCTTTAAACACAGGCAGAGGTGTGTATATTTAAGTGCCTCAAGATATTTCACACGTACCAGATATGCCCTTGAGATGGAGTTCTGCAGGCCCTCGTTCAGCATCGCTGCATGAGCTTCATTTGCTGGAATACATAAACTAGAACTAGAGAAAGA